TAAGTCTCAGCTCTTCTCTCGCCTGGTCAATACAGAAACCGGATGCCCAGGATCCCCCCCTCCATCCGCAACACTGTGCCCTGCCCAATCAATCACCCGACCAGCCTGCTGGCCCCACCCCTAACACAGGAGGCAGGACCATCCTGCCCTGGGACCCACAAAGGTGATGGCAAGCCAGCTAGCATGCCAGACATGTGGACCACTGGGATCAGACACCCAGAAGGCAGTGGTGACTGGGGGAGGCTCACGGGTGCAGCCCCTGCGGTCCTCGTCCAACCGGAAACCAGCCTCACAGAAGCACTGGAAGGAGCCAGCCAGATTGGAACAGTGATGCTCACAGCCGCTGTGACCAGAGGCACACTCGTCAACATCTGCAGACAAACGGGCTTGCTATGTATGCACGGTCAGAGGCCTGGAGGCCCACGCCTATCCTGGCTGTACCTCACAGACATATTCAAGCACTCATTCGCTAAGCGTCTGGTAACACTACCCACCTTACCCCTCCCTACCCCACCCTACTGCCCAGCCACGGTGCTTGCTCCAGAAGTCTTTGTACTCTAGAGTGAAGGGACAGTGGGCATCTGCCAGGAGAGTTGTTGAAGGAACAGGCAGGAGCATGTCCCCAACCCTGTGAGGGGAGCCAGTGACTACGGGAGGGAGGGAGGGAGGGAGGGAGGGAGGGAGGGAGGGAGGGAGGGAGGGAGGGGCAATGGTGTGCACACAATGGTATACAAGTACATGCTTCTGGCTATGTGAGGCTGGCTAGCTACATGTACAACTTGTGTGTGGTGTGCAAGAGATCATATGCCAGTTTGCATGTGGTCAGGATGGGTTGTACGGGTGTGTATGAGCATACAGTAGGCACCTAATGCCCACAAGCAGAGCAGGAAGCATGCCGGCTGCATGTCACCTCAGGACCCAACTGCTACCGTGTGTAGCATGTGCTCACCCTCACAACCACAGCCATCAGTGGTGAGCCGGTAGCCAGCGTAGCAGCTGCACTCATACCCACCAGGCGTGTTGGCACACACCTGCTGGCAGCATGGGGAGTTGGCACAGTCGTCAACGTCTGTGGGGTACACACGGGAGCCTGCTGGCGCCATGGATACACATACATCCTCCCACAGTCCCACAGCAACAACCCCTGCACACACTGTGTATATGCAACCCTACCTAGCCGCATGTGAGCCTGTGTGCAGTCCCTTGCATACTACATACAATCATGCATACAGTCACAGAGTCACGTACCTGGAAGGAATCACGCATCTGCAGCTGCTCGATCCTGCCCAAACTCACATACTCACATACCCATATCCAACTGTACACACTCATAACCACACACATGGACAGTTACATGGACAACATGATCTCCCCCTCTCTCCCCCCCTCTCTTTCTCTCTCTCTCTCTCTCTCTCTCTCTCTGTCTCCCCCTCCCTCATCTTCTCCCCCTGTGCCCCACTCTCCCCCTCCCTCTGCCCCCCTCCCTCCCTTTTTCTCTCCCTCCCCCTGTCTGTCTCCCCCTCCCTCCAACCTACCCTCCCTCTCCCCCCTCTCTCTCTCCCTTTGTGCCCCCCCCAACAGCCAATGGCCATAAGAGTGCAGGCAGGGGACAGCCCAGCAGCCCCAGTGCAAGCGCTCAGAATCCTTTGGCGTTGAGTCGCTGACTCTCATCAGCTCCCCTGCAGCCCCTGCCGAGCCCAGGCAGTCAGAGCAGCAGAGAGGGAAGAAGCTTCCAAGTCACGACACCAGAACAAGCCCAAGCGCAGCGAGGCCTGGGGCTGGAGGGGCAGGGCACCCTGGAAGGGAACTGGCTCGCACCAATGCAGGTCTTCTGGTCCTCGTCCAACTCGTAACCGTGAGGGCAGGTGCACAGGGGCCCCGTGCTGGTGTGACTGCAGCCGTGCGAGCAGCCGCCATTGCCAGCCTCGCAGCTGTTCACAATCTCCATCTCGATCCCTGTGACGACATCACACAGCTGGGACGCGGGGCAAGGTTCCGCACTCACTAACCAGCCCCCCTGGGGACCCACGACGCCCAGAGCTGCCCGGCTGAAACTGACGTTAGGGTCTTGAGGGGCCTCGTCAGTGCTCCCCAAACACACACCCCCACCCCAGTCCACTGCTCACGGTAGCACTGCCGGCCGTCGGCACCCAGCTCATAGCCTGCGTGGCACATGCACTTGAAGGATCCCTGGGTGTTGAGGCAGCCATGAGCACACTGGGCCAGCCCTGAGGCACATTCATCCACGTCTGAAAGGGAAGGACAGAGAAAAGGGCTGTTAGAGGCTCCCGACGGCGGGAAAAGTGGTGGTGGGGGGGCCCCCATATCCCTGGACACGTTAACTGCTTCCTGGATCAGACAGCGTAGTGTAGGTCACGCTGTCCCGTACCTGCCAGGCTCACCCTGACAGGTTCCTGGGGGTGGCGTTGACACGGATTGTGTCTCGTGTTGAGCCCAGGGCTGGGGCTTTTCCGTTGCACGGGTAACGACTTCCTAGTGCAGATAGGTATGTAGCTGCTGACTTCCCCTATCCTGTGGGCACCTGGCCACCTGACCCGTGGCATCTTGGGAGGCCAACCACCGTCTCTCTGATGGTCTCCAGGAGCACCACACTCACTCTGAAGTCACTGGGCAAAGGACAGACTTCCCCGCAAGGCTGCCCATCCCAGACCTACTATCTACAGAGACGTTGGGACAGCACACAGCTAGGGAGCAAGTCAAGTACAAACTTGGCCTGGCTGGCGGTACAACAGCCGCCAGCAGGATGAAGGAATGGATTCCGGAAGCTAGTGCCAAACCGTAGCCTATAGCTAAGGAAGCATTTAACACCGCTTGGCCCCGAGGAAGCCCAGCACCGATTCATTGGGACATTTCCTGGGGTTTATCAGCGACCCCCTTTCCTTCCCCTTGCTTACCTCTCCTGGGTCCCAAGGATCAGGTACTAGCTGGGCACTACGGGAAGTATGTTTAAGACACCCTGAGTTCCCTCCCTTCTGCAGAAACATGACTGGGTTGTAGGCAGCTCATGTTGGGTCTCCCCACCCGACAGGGAGAGGAGACTAAGTATCACCCAAGGTCACACGGAGACCCATCCAGAAGGACACCTCAGGGATGTTGGGGCTAGGTAAAGCATCCTACCTTCACAGGCCTTGCGGTCCGCAGCAAGCTGGTAGCCTGTGTGGCAGCTGCAGTGGGCGTGGCCACGGAGCGCCTGGCATATGTGCATACAGCCACCGTTGCCATCGGCACATGGGCTTCTCCCTGCGTACCAGAGCCAGAGGGATGGAAGCAGAGAGAAGAGATGGGGAAAGGCGACTCTGACAGAGGCAGGGTTTCTCCTCAGGACGGGAACCCCTCTCTGTTCCAGCCTGGGCCATGGTCCCCCCAGTTTGTGGGTGGCTCCGAGTCCCCCCAAGAAGACTCCATAGCCAAGGCTGGGCTCCTACAGCTCTATCAGATAGCCAAGAGTCAGTGCCCCACCGAGGCCCGTGACTTGTGGAGTGTCACGGTTCTCCAGGACATGCAGAGAGCAAGGCCTCACTGGAAAGAGGGACTTCCAGCAAGGAGGCGGCCAGCCCGGGTGAGCTCCTGCTGTGAGTCTTACTGGCTCCTCCCAGAGTTTGCAAAGGTGTTGAAACTGACAGGGGGTGGGGGTGGGGGCTGGGCTAGGAGCCCCAAACCCTTCTCCCCAGTCCTCTGACCCAAGGACCCAACCCTATGGCCCTCCAGGGCCTCGAGCTCCTCAGCTTTGATTCCCTCTGCTTCATGAACGCTCGCTCACCTTCATATCCACCAAATAGAGGGTGATATCTCCACCCTGAACTTCCCACCCCGGGGCCATACCTTCCAACAGTGCTAGCCATCCCTGCACCACAGGCCCACAGCAGCCCAGACCTCCCTCCCTCCCTCCCTCCTTCCCTCCCTCCCTCCCTCTCACCCCCAGGCTAACACAGCACCAGGCTCTTCTGGACCCCGGACCCCTTCACTCTCCCAGCTCCACAATACTTACGCACACAGCGCCTGCCATCCTCCTGCAGCTGGTACTGGGGCCGGCACTGGCAGCGGTGCTGTGTCATTGTGAGCTGGATGCACTGATGCTGGCAGCCGCCATTTCCCAGGGTGCAAGAGCTGATGGCTGAGGGCACAGAGGAGCCGAGGTCAGGCCAAGAGGGCAGGTCCTCGTTTTCTCACTTGAGGAAGACAGGGGGGGGGGCAGGCGGCAGCGTCTTCCCCACACAAACCCTCAAACCACCCTCCTCCCTCGCTCTCAGTGCCCAGCTTTTGACTTTACTCTCTTCGCAGCCACCAGCGGGATCCACGGCACGGTGGGCATCTCTCTGAACCCTCTAAACCCAGCCCACACACACACACATAGGGCCGGGTGCAAGGGAGATCAGCCCACCTTGACAGAAGCCCAGTATCTCATCCCACCCCACCCCAACCCCGTGCAACACCAGGAGGCTGTTGAGAAGCAGCTGGCTCAACCCCAGCAGCAGGCTAGGAGGCATGGTGAGATCCACCCTACCGCCTTGGTCCTCAGGGCCAGGTCAGAAGGCCACCTATGAATGCCCACCTCAGTCCACAGGCCTGGCCACCCGTTTCTCAGGGGTTGGGGTGGGGGGATCAGAGCAGATTCTTTCTACCCCAGGCCAGACCACACCTCACACCCTAGCAGAGTGTCCCACTCTTCCCAGCAACCATCAGTCCTCAGAAAGACCGTGTCCCAGAGGGCAGCATCCTGTCCTGCAAGGTTGGACTGCTGCCAGGAATAGAAGAGAGATGCTGGCCGGCCTGGCGGGTGCCTGTGCCCTCGCAGCTGCTGAGACGGGGAGGATGCTTTGCATGGCGGGACACGCGGGATGGACACCGAGCTTCCCCGCCGGCAGTGGCAGCCAGCTCCTGGCATGGTTTTGGTTACGGTCTGGCAGTGGCGCCCTCGTGGTTAAAGGAAGTTAGCCCTGCCGCAGGAATGCTGCCCCTGGCCAGGGAGGTAAGGCTGTCTGCCTGCAGGCTTGCGCTCCAAGCTGTGTCAGCAAACCTGAGACTCATCACTAAAGCACTTCGGGAGCCAGGCTGTACCCTGAGGTGCTGCCTGGGATGTGGGGGCACTGTCAACTTTAAGCGGTGCTGTCCGTGGCCCGGTTGGGAGAAATGGTTAATTACTGCCTAGGAACGGGGGCTTGGCACCACTTGGGGACGGCACTGCAAGGCCAGGGATGCGCTGGCAGGCATTTGCCACTTGAGCTGCCTCGGGGCGCTGAGGAGGCTGGACTTCCTTCAAAACAAGCTTGCTTAAAGGCCACAGTGCTCAGGAAACAGATCTCTCTTTCAAGTGAAGCGGAGCCGGGAGAGCACATGGAGGCCCCCCTTCTCCAGGGCAAAGCCAGCCATGCGGAGGCAGTGACCAATCTCCTGGCCACCCACCCCCCCCCCGACATGCGCACCGAGGGGGAAGCTACAGCAATCGCCTACAGGACTGAGGTAAGTCCACCAAAGCTGAGGTCCGCCCCCCCCCAACTCTGCCCCGACCCCTAAGATTGGATGGAAGCCATGCTGACCCCAGGCCTGGCTGGCCTCACCTGAGCCCGGCGTCCAGCGTCCAGCCACTAGCCCTCCCTCCTCCAGAGGCGTCTGGGCGCCCATGCACATGGCCTCAGCTGGCCCCGCATTCCTGGGGGCTCTGTTTACTTGTTCTCACACCACACCAACTGCATCCCTTCAGGACATGTAATGGGAACCAGAAGCCCATCTGGTGGGACCAGGCAGGCACAGAGGGGCACGGTGTCTCAATCTCCCTTCAGGGATGCACCATAAACCAGGAGGTAAGGGTATTTCATCTCCATCTCCGATGTGGTCATGGGCAAAGAAGCTGGGGCGGGCCCATGAATGAGCCCGCCGTGGACTGGCATGGAAGACCTGGAATTCCAGCACAGCTTCACAGCCTCAGAACCACGGCTTTGCTGTCCTTTGCTCCACAGGGCTGCTCAGACTTCACAGATGCTCCCAAGCTGTGCACACCAGGGAGCCAGGCCAGCATCACCCAGCACATCCTTTGTGGATTCCCGGAAAGCTAAGCCAGGCAGATTGTCTTTTCCCTGTGCCAGGGGGGGCTGCACAGCTCCCGGACTGGCCGGGGTCTGCATGCCTGGGCCTCAGGGGCTGGTGGAGATGTCTCCAGGCCCCTCGAACGACCGAGGACACTCGCTCTGGGGACCTCTGCCAGGGCCAGGGCCAGAGGCTGACATCTGATTATGGTTCTCGAAATCAGACACGAGGTCAGACATGAGCAGAGCTGAGTGACCTCTGGAGCAGGGGTCAGGACTGGCCTCCCTGCAGGCCATATGTACTCATAGCAAACCCCCTTCATCCCACACTGGGCAGGGTCTGTGCCCAATCCTTCAGGCCCCAGTAGTCCTGCCCCATGGCCCATCCTGCAATTCCCAAGATCTCACGTGGGTCCCTGACCACTTCCAAATTAAACACAAGTGACTACAGTTGGATGACATTCTATATTAGAGCCTTAATGTTTGTGTGTGTCCCTGTACCCCTCCCCCCAACTCACATGCCGAAGCCCTCTGATATGACACTCTTCAGAGTTTTGTACCTTAATTAAGGTCGAAAGTGGTCACACAGATAGGGCTCTGATCTCATCAAGGACCAGAAAGGCTGGCACCTTGCTCTTGGACTTGTAACTATGTGAAAAACAAAACCCTGTTGCTTGAGCCCATGCAGTGTTTTGTCAGGGCAGCCAGCACAGGATGATTGGCAAATCCAAGAGTTTGGAATTCCAACAGAGCTGGGCTGTGACTCCACTCACAACCAGCAGGAGTCACACTTGCTCAGGGTGGGGTGTGAGGTGCAAAGCTCGGAGGAAGGAATGGACTTTGTGGAGGAAGAAATGATGTTTCCTACAAGACAGAGGGCTACTTTGTGCCAAACTGTACAACACTCTTGGATGTATGATATCCCCCAACAAAGGGCACTAGCCCAGTCTCAAGAGGCAGCACCTGCGCTGCAGAAACAAACTCAGGTCTTAAGCCAAGGCCTCAGGGCTCGCATCAGGAACATGAGTGCCGTGCAGATGACAGCACGTGGGGGTGGGGGATGGGACATGTGGGAACACCAGACCTTGAGCAGAGACCCACTTCCCCTTCTGCCTGGGAGTAGGCAGCTGTAAGACAATGTTTACTAAAAACATGTTTACTAAAAACAATACAATGCCCGGGGCAATACGTTCCTGGAAAAGGCCTACCCACAGAAACCGCCCTGACCTCGACCTTGTCCAAAGACTAACCGCCTCTTCTGCCATGCCCAGATCAGTTTCTGGGGTCAGAGCAGAACCAGCCAGGGGAGAGGAGAGAGCAGAAGCTTCTCTGGTGGGAGCCTTTCTTAGGAAGTTTTCTTGAACCTTTTTGGGGCCTGCTTAAAGTTTTCTTTACATCGTTGAACAAGTCTCTGTGTTGTCAATCCCCGACACCCTCCGCACGTTCTTGGACACAGGCCGCGCAGCAGACGCGACAGGACATGCACACTGGGCCTTGGGGTGGCTCTAGGCTCCAGCCTCCAGCTCATAAACTCATCACTACGGACCCAGTAGAGAGCGAGGTCTACCTACGATCGGCAAGCCAAGCCCATCGGCTGCTTTAGTGCAGCCCCCACACCAGCCTGGTGTCTGAGGCTAGCTGGAGGGTGGTGTCATGGAGTTATAGTTGCTGTCCTCAAGTTGGTGTGGCGTCTGGGTGCTAAGCTCCCACCATGTATGGTTAGCGGCCAGAGCAGTCTGTCCTAGGAAGGTCTTTGACAAGGCAGGGGCAGACGGCAGCACAGAGGGGACTCATCACACCACACATACATACATCATGCATGCATATATGCATGCATAATCATAAATACACACATGCATCAATACATCCATATATACATGCATCCATCATGCATGCATCCATCATTCACACACACACACACACACACACACACATATGCAGGCAACCTCTAGGCTCAAAGTTCACACCTTGTTCACACCACACCCACAACCTTGGGCAGTTTTCTGCTGTCAAGCCTTAGCTCCCAGTTGCATTCTCAAGAGGTACCACAAGAACTGCTGGGCTTCCGTCCATCAGAGCATGTACGAAAGTGTTGGATGGGCTGCTTAGAAGGCAGATATGTCCTGTAAAGAGTACTACTCTGCCACAATTCCAGTATTGGCCTTGTTGACACTGCAACCCACCCAAGGGCAGCAGAACTGGGCCCCTCCAATCATACACACACACACACACACACACACCAAGCCAACACTGCCTTAGTCACCAACTCTGTCCCCTATGGCATGCCATATCCCTGCACGCCCAGCGTGACTGCTTAACCATCCCTGCTGGGCTCTGTGCCCAGCCCAGGATTTGTGCCCTCTTTCCAGGCAGCTCTGGGTCGAGATGAGATACCTGGTATGGGCCACTGAACCTAGTAGGTACCCTTGCTCCATCTCAGCCTGCTCCCCCAACGCCAAGCGGAGGCGGTCCCTGCCTTGTGAAGAGCCCGGGGTGTGATCATGAGACAGGAAGGGATTGACCACAGCGGCTGCTCCCTTCCCGCCTCTCCCACTGGCCTCACTCAGGCCAGGCTTCCTCGGGCTTCTCAAGGATGGGAAGCTGACCCCTTGTACAACTGTAACCCCTGCCAGGTTTTGGAAGGACTGGGAAACATGGGCAGAGCCGCATCTGTGGCTCCATGGGGATGAGTTCTGCAGAAGAGCCTGGCAGTTTGCACATTTGAGCTGCCTGTGGCTTTGGCCCCAGACTCAGGATGCTGCCAGCAGCAACCTCCAGGTCCCAAACAGCATTCCTTGGGGCTTCTCCTCCAGAAAGGAGCCTTGGGGACAGACTGGGGCTTGTAAAGCCCTTTACCGACCTGATGCCTGGGAGGGAAGATTCAGTCAAGGCCACAGATACACAAAGACAGGGCTGAGCAGCCTTCCTCTGGTCATGCAAACACTCACACCCATGTAACGCAGGTGGTGGAGCCACCACAGGTGTGTGCTGGCCACAGAGGCCTCCCCAAGGGTGTCCATCCTGAGCCAATGGGTGTGAGATGAAGAGAGGCCACCTGTGCCACGGGGCTGAGCCAGTGACAACCATAGCCCCTCAGACTGGACCCATTTGTCCTTCAACCCAAAGGACATAGCCATATACAAGGTCGGTGTCCAAGTCATACTGAAAACCACTGGACGGGCACATGCCACTCAGAGCACCACAGCCACAGAGGGGAAGGAGGAGGAGGGTCTCCCCCCCTTGCTGTGTTATGACACCCTGCGGCTATTCCATTCTGGAGCTCTGCAAAATGTCACGGGAAAGTAGGAATGACACTCCCGGACCCTCAGCCAAACCACCACCCTGGGCAGGCCCTACTTTCCATGGCTGGGGAAAGGAGGAACGGGCTATGGCCCAAGCTCAGAAAACTAGAACAGTCTCAGGCCTGAATCTCCCACTCTACCCCCACGTTACCACCTCAGAAATGAGACAGAGGACAGAGCACCCCAGGAGAGGGCAACCCAAGCCATGGGTGGGGCTCTTTTGTTCCTGTCGGAGTGGGTAGCCAGGACAGGGGACAATGTTCTTACTACAGTGGGTTGGTGGCAAAGTCCTGCTTAAAATACCCATTCTGAAGAGCAGGGAGGGAAGGCCCAGTGGTTAAAAAACAGCGGCTGCCCTTGCAGAGGACCTGGATTTGGTTCCCAGCGTCTCCACGGTAGCACACAACCATCTGTTAACTCTGGGTTCAGGGGATCCAACTCCTCCTCTTCCGGACTTGACAGGCACCAGGCACACACATAGTGCACACACACACACACACACACACACACACACACACACACACACACACACACACACATACACACACGTACAGGCAAACAGATACTCATGCACATAAAAATCTAAAAAGAGGGATGGAAACGGAAATCTTTCTGTGTGTTTTGTTACATTTGGGGCAGCGTGTGGGTGAAGCGTGCCTGTAATCATGTATAATCCTGATGCTTGGGAGGTGGAGGCTGGAGGAATTCAATGCCAGCTCTGGCTACACAGTAAATTCAAGCCAGCCTCATCTATGTGAGACCTTGGGAGGAGGGAGGGAGAGAGGGAGGAGGAAGGGGAGGGGGAGAGAGAGGGAGAGAGGAGGGAGAGGGGGAGAGGGAGGGGCAGAGGAAGGGGGAGGGGGAAGGGGGAGGAGGAGAGAGAAGGAGAGAGGAGGAAGGAGGGAAGGGAAGGGGGAGAGGGAAGGGGAGAGGCAGGGGGAGGGGGCAGGGAAGGGGAAGGGGACGGGGAGGGAGTGGGGAGGTGGAGAGGGAGTAAGAGAATGAGAATCAGTGTCAGAACTTATACATTCCCTGGTCTACCTGGCCTTGGAGATGACTATGTGACATGACCATGGCCAGTGTCGGGTCCTCCATAGACCCTAGGACAAAGATCACCACACCCTGACTCCCTCAGGCAACCACCTCAGCCCCATCCAGAGCTGCTCAGCTACCTCCATCCCAGGCCAGCATCTCATGCCAATCAGTCAAGGTGGTTCCCTCAGCAACTGGAAGAAGAGGCATGGGATAGGGCATCAGGGATACCCAGGGACTCCTGAAGGAAGCTCCCAAGAGGTCCTATAATTACTCTGGAACCTTTTCAGGTCCCCACAGGGAAGTCAGCATCTGGTGGTCCCAGGATGACAAACCCAGGGTCATCATAGAAGCTCCCTAGGAATTACAGACACACAAAATCATCTATCACCCACAGCCAGATGGGAACAGAGAGAGACGACTGAAGATGGAGGATGAGTAGGCACCATATCCCCCAGGGAATGCGGGGAAATGTGTCACAGGCATAGCGCAGGAACTGAGATAATGCTCAGGGGTCCCCAGAACACCACCAGACACTTACAGGGAGATCAAGGTGTCTCTAAGGCAGAGTTCACCAGAGACGGGAAGCCACCACGCCTAGAGGAGTCAACGTTGGGGAGTTTTCAGGCCATTATTCTATTGTCCCCAGACACAGCACAGCAGGAAGCTGTGATCTCATGAAACTTCAGTGTAAATCCCTTGTTGAAAGTTGCAGTAAAAAGAGAGTGAGAGCGAGCATGTGCGTGTGCACGCAAGAGAGAGAGAGAGAGAGAGAGAGAGAGAGAGAGAGAGAGAGAGAGAGAGAGAGAGAGAGAGAGAGAGAGGCCATCTGAGGCCACTGCTCCACATACAACCAATGTCCACCAAGTCAGCTGTCAGGTGGGAGGGGTCAGAAGCCCTGAGAACTCACCCGCCACTTAAACAGTGTTGTGGGGACAACCATGGGGGCAATGCAGACCGCCTACAATAAATGTATGTCATGAGTCCATCCCTCTGGGGCCCCACGGGTGCAGAATCTAGCATGCCGACCTCCAGCATAGCAATGGGTGGTGTTGGCACAGGGTAGGGTAGGGTAAAGGGCTATCCCTCCTGGGCTTCCCGAGACCAGCAGCTCAGAGCTCCTCCGAGAAGC